TTAGGATTTTATTAGTCTAATATGACACGGTAATATAATATATGATTAGAATTCCCATCCAGTTATCCTTCCCTCGGTGGTGGTGAGCAGAGGTTTTGTGCACAGCAGCTCCCCAGCCACCGCACAGGGGGGACGGGGTGGGATGGGGCCGCAGGTAAAGCACCCCCGTGGGCTGTCCGGGTGGGAGCGCGTGGGCTGCTTGCTTCCACGCGGCCGGGCAGGGTGCGGGCAGGGTGCCTGCTCTCCCTGTGCATCTGCAGTACAAAGCCGCTCACTTCTTCCTGCTGCGTGACAGTGGGAGGACGGTGCAGGCATTTAAAGCATTGGTGACAGCTGTGCTGAAGGTGCTGGGCTGAGTCGTGGCAGTACCTGGGAAATCAGACTTGATGTGCCAGAGCGAGAAATCTGCCGCGGGCACCAGCCCTGCCCCAGAGTCCCTGTAAAACCCACCTCCCGCAGGCTGGGGCCGCTTGTCCCTGCTCTGCCGTGCACTCGGAGGACCTGGTGCAGCAGAGGAGTGGATGTGACAGACCGGGGAATGGGGTCTGAGTGGGGGCAGAAGCTGGGGGGGGGCTGGGGCTGAGCCGCTTGAGTGGTGCAGCCCCGGTGGGGGTGCCGAGCTGCACGCCCACCGACCCCTGCACAGGGACTGTCGGCACCGCTGGCCGTGTGCGACCCGGGCGGCTGGCTCGGGCTGTAAGGGCCTGCAGAGCCAGATCCTGACCCCAAACTACCTGCGGGGGTCCAGCCAGAGCCTGTGCCGTGCATTCAGCTCAGCCTTTCCGACCGCAGAGCACGCTGCTGAGGCACACCATGTGCCATGCCTCATCACAGGACCTGCCTTGCCCCCACAGCTCTCCCCATGCGACCTGGCTCACTGAAAATTCTGCTGCAACAAATTCCAGAAACAAACTTTTCTTCAAAGTTTCCAGTGTGTCCCCCCCTTCATTTGCTGCTAAATCCCCAGCTTCGCTTGCAAGCAGGTTCTGAAGCAAACACCATTTGTAGCCTGGTTCTTGCCTCCAGCAGCAGCAGCAGGAAAAAAAGTTCAAGCATATCAGAGTGCTACTAGGTGATAAATCCCAAAATCTATATCAAAGCCTATTTGATCATCTCCCTGTCATTGATATAATAAAAAGGATTAATTTATTGGAGACTGCCAAAACCCTCATGTGGCAACAAATTTAAGAATCTTGTTTACTCAGGCTAATTAAAACCAATTAATTTCATTCATATCTGCAGCAACTAATGTGGGTGTAGGCGCGTGTGCTCGTGCAGGAGTGCCATAGGTGTGCACGTGGTGCACGTGGCTGTGCCCTGCCAGGGCAGAGCCCTTGCTGGGGTGGGCGGTGGGTCCCCTGAGGGGGGGTGTGGGCAGTGCCCCCAGCGGGGAAGGCCCCTCCCTCCTTCTTCCTCTTGCTCCTTTTTCTTCTCCTCCTCCTTCTCCTTCTCTTTCTTCTGCTCCTGCTCTGGCCACCACCCCAGGGCCACGCTGCCTCCCCTCGCCTCTCACCTCTCGCCTACCAGAGAGCCCAAACAGGGCTTTGGGAGAGTGAAAAGGGGCTGATTCTTATGCTGTGAGGTCACCTATTAATGCTGTCTATTAGGATAATAAAAGGCTGCGTTTTTTTTGTGGTAAAATTCAGCATAAAGAGCACGCGTCATTAAATATGGAAATCCAGAATTTTATTAGCAATCTGCTAGATCTGAACTGACGCCAATTAAACAAAAAAGATATCATTTATAAAAAGGCAGAGTTCAAGTTGTATTAAATATGAAATGCAATTTTCTGCTGGTTGTGATTTATTACCGGTGGTACATTGTTCAAAGAAGCATGTTATATTTCAATAGAGAAATATTGTTTATTCATTAATATTTTAAAACTTGCTTATTGCTGTGTATGACTCTCCTGCAGAATGAAACTTATGATTTAAAACATGAATTAATAAACACATTTGAAAGTGTTAGACAATATCATAACCACTCATTTTTCATTTTACTGAGAGCATATTAAACTTTTATAATTCTGCGTGTACTATTATTTTCCAAATAAAGGTATGGACTCTAAATTGCTAATTTCAGGTAAAGATGAGAGAAAGCAATAACATATGTTGGGAATCAGTCACTATGTCATGCTAATACTGGCTCGGTACTTCTGTTGTTACATTATTCATAAATCTTCTGCTTAGCACCACGTCCCCCTGCCAGGTTCCCAGGGTGCCGGAGCGCTTCTGCCCCTGCCGCTGTTTGGACGCCAGGTAGGCGCGCGCCGGAGGGATGCATCTGTCTTACACGTGGCTGTGCATGGCGCACTTAATGCAAGGAAACATTTGATAAAGGCTGACATCCTAAATGAGGCCGAAAATATTTTATACAAAACGTGATAAAGCAATAATGATCTGGAGGCCTCAGGTTATCTTGGTTATTACCTGCACCTACCACTTGAATCAGCAGCATTAAGGGGGCCAGACCCAATCCGCAGATACCTCTGAACTCATTAGTCTTGAGTACTTTATATAGACTAACCTATCAGTTGCTTGATTTAAACGAACCTTTCTTGTATCTTAAAATCTCTCCTGCTGCAGCCTCAGTGTATTACCATAACAATAACCAGTATTTCAATTTTAAGAACTCATTTTTCCTCAAATAGAAAGTGCCAATCAATTTAAAGAGCAGAAGATGCACGCTGCAGAAGCAGGCAGGGGCATCTGCTCTGGGTGTTTCGCCCCGGTGCTTTGCGCCTGTTCCAGCTGGGAAATGCTTTTGGTGCAACTAGCATAGGGCTGACCCCCACCAGGTGGAGGGGATTTACCTTGTAACCTTTAATCGCATGGCCGTGGGGTGGAAATAATTAAGCTGGATGGAAAGCTGATGTTTGGAAAGCTTCCCCAACTGCTGGCGTTGAAACACCAATAGTGCTGCACGTGTATGACTGATGGCAAACCAGAGCCGCCGATGTGCACCTCGGTGGTGGCAGCACCCAGCGTGGGGCCGGTGGAGGCAGGAGGCCCCTCCAAGGCCCCCAGGACCCCTCCAGGCCCCCCAAGAGCCCCCTGACACCTGTCAGAGCAGCTTCCCGTTGGCTAAGCGGGGCTGGACATGGCTCCGGTCGCAGGGTGCTCCTGCTTTGCCTGCCCGGAGCAGCCCTGGCGGTGGCAGGGCAGTGGCTGCACCCAGGCCGGGCCGCCCGCGCTGCCGGCACCTCGCCTGATTGATGGCGCGGCTGGCGAGCGGCTGTTTGTACAAGGGCAGGCCTCGCACCTGACAGCGTAGTGTAAATTAACTATTCGCTTCTTTGTTGGGCAAAGTGAATCGGCAAACCTTATTACTCCAAGTCAGTCAATTAATTAAAGTTCAGTGCTTAATCAAGTTCCAGTGGTCATACACGGGGCACAGGGATTTCTCTCTCCCAAGCACCACGATCAGAGGTTGGGCGAGACGCAGGCCGAAGGGGCCGCGGGGCTGCTCTGTGGCGCCAGGCCCAGCGTTCAGCACCAGCTTCCTCCCCGGGGGGCTCGGGCAGCCCAGTGCAGGCAGGCGCAGGAACGCCTCAGCCCCTCGCCAAGGCTCGGCAGGCCACGAGCTGCAGAGGCCCGGCTGACACCGCTGCAGGACTGGGGGGAGCCGGGCTCCGCGGGGAGCAAAGCCCCTGAGAGCAGGGGGCAGGGACAGAGTGCCCGGGGCAGACAGGAGGTGATACAGCACGGATGCCGTGGGGCCCTGAGCAGAAAAATGTCTTTCAAATATGCCTGGCTGTGTGTTTTAGTAACTCTCAAGACCATCCATAACTTGGAAGGAGATGCTGTCCAGTGCACACGGGCAGGAGATTCAATTAGATTTCTCTCTCTCCTGCTCTCTCCCCAAGAACATGGCACAAGAAGCAATCTCTCTTTTTTGAAGAGTGTAATAACAGAGTGCAATGGAAATGCGTCAAAGAGACTCAGAGAACAGGATCCCTGCTTTAAATCTTGAAAAGCACTCAAGAAAAATATGTTGTTTACCTGAATTTGTTTTTCATAAGGTCTCCCAGTGGATTAATAAACTAACCTTTCGTCTGTGAACACCTGGTCCTACACGCCATCAATAACGCAAGCTTCACCTACTGCATTAATACACCGTTAGTGTGGAGAAGCAAATTGCAGAGATCTAGATGGAAGGTACCAAAAAGAATGCCCCCAGACCAGCAGTGACCCGGGGCACTGTGCTGCCTCTGCCCCTCGGGAGGTTTGTCTGGCCTCCAGAACGCGGCAAGTGGGATTTGTGCCCCGTGGCCCTGGCGCTGTGGCTCTGTGCCGCACGGCTCTCTGCAGTGCCCCACGGTGCAAACACAACTTGTAAAGTACCAGAAGGGCATTTTAGCTGCAAAATATACCTGCAACAACAGTTAGGGCTGGGTAACATGTTTCTTTACAAACTCTTTCATTCTTTTTTGCAGCCCATAACTCAGTGGTAAAATACAACGTGCTCTGGGGCCGACAGTCTCCTAACAAGATACAGGCTAAAAGAAAGCATGGTGCAAGTAAAGCCTACGAAGTTCAGATGTTGTCAAATGGTAGCTGCAAAATGTACAGAAGTGTGGCAAGGCACTGGGCTTGCTCATGAGCTGGTGGTGAACAGAAGGGCTGTTTTGGGGCAAGGCTTTTGGGTAGGCTTCTCCACACATGGCACAGCGCCCATGGCCAGCACAGCAGGCGCTTCACACCTCCTGCGCTGCTGCTCGCCCCATGGGGTGCAGGGTGGGACCACTTCTACGCTGCAAGGAGACCCCTGCCCATCGCACCCAGGCTTCAGGAGGCCATGGGGGAATTTTAAAAGGACAAAGTGCCCCAAAAGCAGCATGCTGGCAGCAGCACACTAACACTAAGGGAGTCTGTAGGCTCGAGAGCCTGGCATCCCTTAATTGATTGATAGGCTAGGACTGTCAGCGCTTAAAGAGATAATTCAATTTATAAAATCCTATTAAGTGGTGAAAGATTTTTTGATTGTTGAATTGTTTCCTATGTTATGCCAGTCATTTTGGTCCCTCTCACTTGGAAATCCGCTTCCCATTTATGAAAGGGCTGGCGATGGACTCGCTCTTCATCTTCCCTCAATGCACAGAGCCTGGGCAAACAAGGGAAAGGCAGAGAGAGGTGAGGAATGGAGGTGAAGGACAGGCCCCCATGTGCCACAAGCCCCACATCCACGCACCCTTGTGTGTGGCGCGGGAACAGCCCACGGGGCCCTGTCTAACCCATGGGGCTGTGAGAGCTGGGTGCAAGTGGGAACCCCCAAGTCGCCGTGTGGCAGCTAAAGTTTCTTTTCTATTCGCAGTGTGCTCTTTGTTTCCATCTACCACCCCCACGCTGATGCAAACTCCCCTCTTCAGTTTGTTTCCATAGAAATCCTCAGCTGTAAATCCTTAAGTAACTTTTTTTTTTCTTTTCTTTCTTTTTTTTTTTTTTTTATTTATAGTGTGCTATTAATGTCCTTTCAAGCCGAGGACTCCAGGAAATGAAATAATAGAAAAGGCACCACTTTGAAATGCATCCAGGCATTTATTGTTAGTAAGTGAAAAAGTAACATGAACATTTAAAGAAAATATTGGCAGATAAATTGGGTTTTAAAGAAAATATAATTGGATATAATTTCTGCTTCATCTAGTTAGATATTTATTGTTTTATTGACTTATTTTCTTTTATTTATCATAAGAAGCTTAAGATGAAATTTAATTTGTTGATATAAATATATATTTTCATAGAAAATTTGGCATTTCAAATGTTATCTAAGATACTACTGGCTTTGATAAAACCACACAGCTTTTGCAAGGGTTTGCCTTAAATATTTCCAATCTCAGTAAATATGAAGTAGTCTATATAATCATAATTATCATAACAATTAGCATTATTCTAATTAATGGGCAGGGCTAATGGCAATGCATCCACGTGGAAAATCAGTGCTTTCTGCATATTTGAGTTCTTCCTACAGTTTTTGCTGAGATATACAGAATTCAAGCGTCTGTTTTGGAAACAACCCCACCTTAAACCCCAGGCTGTAACATCTCCATCCCTTTCAGGGCACAGATGACGCCTTTTGCCTGCGGTGGGCTGGGGAGCGGAGGTCTCATTTTCTTGGCAGCCAGACAGACTGAAGCGGCAGCACCATTGGAGGCAGACGCTTTCCATTAATCTTCATGGAGAGGGTCAGCCTTCAGGAGATGTCACCAGGAGGCTGCAGTGCCACCGCTGCTGGAGTGGGAGGTGCTCCCTGGGCGCTTGGTGGTCCCGTGGGCCAGAACTGAGCTCCAGCCCGCGCTCGGCAAGCCCCTCTGGCTGCATTTCTCCATGAAGTGAAATGCCTGCTTTGGGAGGGTTGAGCACGGCGAGCTCTTGGCTGCAGGGTGCCGAGGGGCTGCACGGCATCTTGGTGCTGGGGCTCAGCACCCGGGGCCCCGCTGCCAGATGCCTGCCCCAGCGCTTGTGGGGTTGGACACCATTCATGGCATTCCCCTGAAGGCGGCCGGGGGAGCCCAAGCCCCCTCCTTAGCTCTCCCCAGCCTCTCCGGCACCGTGCCAGCCTGGTGACCTCCCTACCACGTGAGCGTGGGGTCATTGGGACTGAGAACAACCCAACTCGTAACACAGATGCTGCCAAATGACCTCCAGATGGTAATGTTTTTTGGATTCAAACCAGCTCTGCAGAGGTGAAAGGCTGCGTGCTCCATTACCAGCCCCCTGAGTCACCCAGTCCCCCTGAAATATGTCATGCACACTTCAAACCTTTCCCATTTTATAGTCAGATTTAACTGCTACACATAACAGCTTATATCAACAACATTCGGAAAAAATGTCCTATGAAGAACAGGCCTGAAACGGTAAATATTTAACAGGTCCTTTCTGTCCTTTCCTTATATGTATTAAAATAATTAGTTTAACAAAGAGGACTTTGTTCCCCTGTGTTTGAGCCGCGACGGTGTCTGGCGCAACAGTGCAGCTGTAATTCAGTCTCGAGGTTTTGCTGGCATTTATACATGCTGCTTGGAGCTGCTCTCTCAGTTTATAGTGTCAGCAGAACATCTTGATTGAATTACAACCTTGTATTCAGTTAGGAGCCATGTATTATTCTAGATGCAGTTGAGTTGTAGGTATCTGTCTTTGCTTATTTGGGGAGACAGACCCTCAGGAAAAGCAGGAGCCCAGATGCGGGCTGGGTGCTGCCCGCAGTGGCTGCGTGGCTGGGCAGAGCCAAAGCCCGGCTGATGCCCGTGGTGGTGGCAGCAGGGCAGAGCCGGCAGCCGTGGCGCTGGCAGCTCCGTGCTGGCCCCACAGCACCCAGACCGGGGGCGCTTGGCTCGGGGGAAGCCTGAGGCTGTGTGCAGCTGTGGGCAGCTTGTCCGAGGTGCACAACTCATGTCCCTGGGTCTTCTTGTCCCAAACACTCACTAAAGCCTTTATGCTAAGTCTTGATGAATGCACACAAAAAGGATTTATGCCTTGTGGGAGCATGTGCCTGCCTTGTGTGGAGCAGCTTTGGGCAGGTGGGAGGGCAGCAGCTCCCCCCCAGCAGTGGACAGCAGCACTGGGACCAGTAGCGTGGTGGCACTGCCAGTGTCCTTTCCTCTGGCTGCCAGTCCCAGCCTCCTGGGTCTGCCTGCTGGGAGCAGGCTCTGAGGATCGATGCCAAACACAGGTCCTGGGCCAAGGCTGCCTCCTGGAGTGCAGTGGGCAGTTATTTTCCTCCCAAGAGCCTGAAGCTCAGCCCTTCTCACACTACATGCAGGAGCTGTAGTGCACAATGGCTGAGCCTGACTGTGGGTCCCACATGCTGCCAAGCCATGCGGGACCTTCAGCGTCCCCAGTGAGCCCTCCGGTCCCACTGGGAGGAGAGGGGAAATCCTGTCCTGCTGCACTGCCGCGCACCACAAGCAACAGTGGCCGAAAGAGACACAAATGCCGTGTCAGTTCAGCTCATCCCTCACCACAATTTAGCCTGAAAATCAGCTCTGGAAAACAGGATGGGAGGGATGCAGGTTGGGGAGGGCAGCCAGGGTGTGCTGGCCTCGAACCGTGCCTGACTGCCCAGAGCTTCCCTGCACACCCACGTGGGCCTCACAGCCCCGGGGGTGCTTCAAGGGGACGCCCTGGGGGTGGCTGCCCAGGGGTGCCATGTCCTGCAGGCGCTGCGGCCCCTCTGGGAGGAAGGTGAGCAGAGGGCACCGCGGGGCTGCGGGCACGAGGGTGGCACACGTGCGGCGGGGAAGCTGCGGCCCCGTGCAGGGGAAGTCCCTGGGCAGCGCCGCGCCAGGCCCGCTTCCCGCTTTTGTCTGCGGGGCCGGCGGCCGGGCCGCCAGCAGCAGCGGCCTCCACAGCCATTGTCAGCAGGGTGCCCTTCCCCTAATTTGTCATTAATCGGAGACAGCGCATTGATCGGCCATCGTGGGAGCTGGAAGGATTGCAGGCTCAAAATAGTACAGATGCAAATGTTTCAGATGTTAATCTCCGTACTCGCGGTCACCTAGAGGCAGGACCTGGTGCTCGCCGGGTGGTGCCTGGGGATGTGGTGGAGGCTGCAGCAGGAAAAGGCCTTGCTTGTGGAGGGGTGGGCGTCCCACTGGGGCCATGTTGTGAAGGGAACCATGCTGGAAAACGTGGTGTAGAGCCTCCATGCAGCATCTGAGCACCGGAGTGAGCTGGGGGTGAGCTCCAGGCTGGGACCGTGGGCTGCAGGCGGCTGAGAGGGCCCCGCGCTCTGACAGAGCCCACCCATGCAGGGCCCACAGCGGCGCCGTGGCTTTGCCCTTTTCTTTGTGTCCCGGGCACCGCAGGCGCCTCGGCCCTCCTGCCTGAGCCCCCATTAGCTCAGCCTCCGTAATGGGCTTCCTCTCCCATCTGCAGTGCCAACATTTCTAGGAGGATCTATATCTTTCCATAGGCAGTTTGTTTCATCACAGTAACATAATAATGTGCTGAGAAGAGCTCATAGTTGTGAATTAATGTTTAAAAGCTCTCACTTTTGGGTTGTTGAAATGAATGTTAATTTGACAAATGGCAGTCATTGGGATTGAGACGGCATTAACATGGAAATAAGAGTTAACCTCCAGCAGGGCAGATACAAGGTGAGATGAGCACATGCTGCAGAAGCTGTAGTTTTTCACCTGATGCTCATACTGTAAATACTGCTAGTGTCCTATCTATTTATAGAACTGTAATTTAAAGGCTAGTTCAGGAAAATCTGAATGACATCTCCTTAAGAGAAGCAATCGTAGGGTATCTTGGAATATGTCATGCAGCTCTCTGGCTTTCTCTCTCAAAAATACTCATATGTCCACTAAATCAATTTGCCTTTCTCTTGTAACTGCATTTGCGGGGCCATTCTTTTCCATTTTCTGTCACTGTCACACGCTAATTCATGTCACTCTGCGGCGCGGGAGGGCCCAGCCGCCAGCTCCTGGCCCCGCCGCTCGCAGCACGCTGCGTCCCTTCCGAGCGTGCAGCACCCTGCGGCCGCCCGGCGCTGCCCTGCTCTGCCAAACCTGGGTGCGTATGGCAGCAGGTGTGCTGCCTGGGTTTTTTCCTGAACATTCTGATGACTTTTTTTTTTTTTTTTTTAATTTAATTTACCCTTTTTTCATGCTTTTTGCTTCTGGTTTTCACATAGGAGAAAGGAGAAGACATTTCAAACAGGAAGAAAAGACAATGCCAAACCCCAGATCTAGATCCACAAAATTTAGCAAGAAAAGAATCTTGAACAACCCTATTTTTTTTTTTTCTGAGAAAATTCTCATTTTGGAATAAGCCATTTTCACTGAAAACATAATAAATATAATGCACTGGCAACTGGCGCTGGAGCCAACTAGGGTGGTAGCTGCCACCTCTGCCCCCTTCCCAGCTCATGCCCTGTTGGAGGACTTACTTGCCAGTAATCTTTGGCTTTATGTGCATCTTGCACAAAAACAAACAAACAAACAAACAAAACAACCAGCACAACCAGCAGCAAAATTCTCCACCCAAAGTTTGCTGTTTGAGGCCTGACACCAGGCTGTTCTCTCCTCCATTTCTTTCTCCTCATTAGGAGATCTTGTTCTCCATGGCAGATGCTGTGGGCTCCTTTCCCTGTGGGCTCTGACGCCATGCAGCAGCCGCCCCAAGCAAGCATGGTGGCAGCCGGGTGTGCTGCAGGAGGAGCACTCCTGTGCTGGGATGGCAGCATTGGGGCTGCCCTGGGGGCACGGGAATGGGGCACGGGAATAGGGCATGGGAATGGGGCATGGGAATGGGAGTGCTCCCCGAGCAGCTACCACCCGAGGTCACTCCTTCCCGTCCCGGCGGTTCCTGAGCTGTCCCCGCTCTCCCTGGCTCACCAGATGAGCACCAGCAGATGGGAGCAATGTTTTTGTTGTGAACAGCAATGACAAGATCAGGAGCTGCATCATGTAACCCTTCCCTCTGCAGAGAAGCTTGTGCTGCTCTAGGGCACGTTGCACACTTAGGAAGGAGGTGCCCAGTGCTCCGCGGAGATTCTGCTGCGCTGCCGGGTATCTCCCAGCACAGACTGAGGTGTGCCTTTGGCATCCTGGGAGAAGAGGTTGCTCCTGTGAGTCCTCTACTTGGTTCTGCCTTCAGAAAATGCCTGTGCCTGACGTCCGAGCTTGGTATGTACACATCTTTACTGTATTTGTGTGTGCCTCACAAAGCAAAAGCCCTACATTGTGGGAATAATTAGAGCAGAAAATCCAGGGAAAAAATTCTGAGCTTAGGGCATTGGCTCTCGAGTGAAATTACCCCCATGCAGAGATCTTCTAATCGGACAAATACCTGGATCACCCTCATGTGTTTGATTTGCCAGGAAAGCAGACACATTTACACAGGTCTCCAGCAAGCCACAGATGTGCTGACTGTCTTCCGAGAGGTAACATTTAATTTGTCCCTAAAGAAACAAGAACAGAAGTCCACATACATTATCTTCACCTCTTGTTTTTGCAGCCGTTGTTTTTGAAAAGTGAAGTAGAGAAGAATATGTAAACCAGACAGGCTCAACCCCACAAACAGCAGTTTTCTTTTTCTTTTCTTTTTCTTTTTTTTTTTTCCAAATTGTTTAATGTTTTGAAATGTTCTTCACATCTCTAGACATAAATATTCTGACTTGCAGCTGGGAAACTTCCTTCCAAATTGTTTTGTTTGTCAGGTTCAAGTACAAATTTTCAGTTAAAAACCTTCTTTCCTTGACTCTTAATAGTTACTGGCCAACAAATGGAAAAGAGGAAAAGGGAGTGAATTACATGACCTGTCTCTTTTTGTTTATTAAGAACTTCTTTCCAGCATCTGATTCTTACGGAAATATGGTTTCAATTTTCTCTTTGAATTGTGGATCAAGAAATGTTGCCAATACATATTTTTCTCTGTCAAAATTTCATTTAATCTGGAGTCTGTAGATGTCTTGAAAGCCACGTCTCCTCACAGGGTTATTACCGTGTGTGCCTGTTGTCATGTTAGGTTTAAATTGGAATCACATTTGTTCCGGAAAGGTGCAGGCGTTGGCTCTTTAGCAGAACAGCCCCGGGACGTGGGCTCACTCACCTGCGCCCCCCCCATCACCACCGGGTCTGGGGCTGTGGCTTCCAGGTCCCATCCTCACGGAGCAGCTCCGTCAGGCCCAGGACCTGCCACGACCCGCCACGGCACCGGCAGCCCCGGAGCTGGCCGCGGCGCTGGAGACCCTTCGGCGGGCACCGCGCCTGCGGGCTGCAGGACCGGGGCTGCAGCCGCTGCCCATGCCCGTCGCTGCAGGTGGGCTCCCTGCACAACCTCGGCTTCGGCCCTGTGTGACCGGCAAACCCGTTTGCCTTCGGCGGGGCTGTTTGAGCACGCTTCCACCTCTCGGTCCCAATGCAAACCTGATGGTCGGTCGCTGTTTTGCGGTCATGCATGACACTCGCACAAATTCCTCTGTAGAGTTGTGAACAGCCTCAGGGAGATGAATGTCTAGGCAAGGATATGGTAATATCCAGACCAGGGCTTTTTTAAAAGGTTTGATCAAGTTGCATAATGTTGAAGGTGACAAGCTTTCCACTGCTTGCTGGGCTCAGGCTGCGCGGCTGGGCACTTCAGAGCGAATCAGGGCAGTGAGACAGAAGCAGGCACATCGCTTCAGAGCTGCTGGGCA